CATTTGGACAGTCGGCCTTTTCAGTTTGCACCGCACACTCTGGTCAATCTGGTCCCCACAGAAATAAGGAACATGACCTCTGTCCAGAGCTGCAGTAGATCTGTGAAACAACAGCTTCTGGACAATCACACACGTGAACAGAACTAATCTGTGTGTTTTAACATCACAGCAAATGTCTCTGTTTTGTTATGTGATTGTGATTTGTGTCTTTTGTCTTTAATGTATGAGCTGTGTGTGCTTTTAACATGTTCTCATTTTACTGATATGTCTACAGTTAATACTCACTGATCTTAATGTGTTTGTCATGTGTGATGGACTCAATGTTACTGTGCCTATGTCCTGTTTTTTGTCTTGCCATCTTCCTGCCAATGGGACTACGTATGAAAATGACCCTGCAACTCAGGCACATTTACATGCTGATTAATGCACACTGCCCCATATTTAATAAATAAACATAAATAATTGCAATAATAATAATAATAATAATAATAATAATAATCTAAATTCATTATAAATATATTTAAAAATTAGCCCTACCTTATACACAATAAATGGTGAAAGTCAAGGTCTGTGCTGTGGCTCCTCACATGTTGAAACCATAGCAGGTCCCATCAAACTCCTCTCCTCTTTTGTTTCACTAATCCCTGAGTCTGCTTTGTACTTTGATAATGTTTACATAGAAACCATGGCTTTTGGGGCTCACAGATACTCTTTCACAACACAATCACAAATCACGGCTTGGGGGCAGGAGACGGCTCTTTCTCAGTGGCCTTCATGTTCTGTGTTGAACAATGTGTTGAAAAGGGAGAGGTAAGCAGAGCCGCATGTCCACAGCTTTAATGCACCAGGACTATGAGAGAGGGAGACACACCCAGTACCCACGGAGCAGCCATCCATAGGAGGAGCACTGGAGGAGGGCCACACATCGGAGGAACACTCCATACCACTGGGAAAATTTAGGGGAATAGTGTTGTTTTATTTTGAAATATTGGGTTTGAATTGTAATTTGTTTCTTTTTTTTTTAATGTTGTCCTGTTGGCTTCATCAGTTCAGGATCTGTAGTGTGAGGATCAGCACTTCTAAGACCGAGGCCATGGTTCTCGACTGAAAAAACGTGGCTTGCCCTCTCCAGGTGGGTGGAGAGTCCCTGCCTCAAGTGGAGGAGTTCAAGTATCGCAGGGTCTTGTTCACGAGTGAGGGGAGGACGGAGCATGAGATTGACAGGCGGATCAGTGCAGCATCGACAGTAATCTGGTCGCTGTATCGAACCGTTGAGTTGAAGAAGGAGCTGAGCCGAAAGGCAAAGCTCTTGATTTACCGGTCAATCTTCGTTCCTCACTTATGGTCATGAGCTCTGGGTAATGACCGAAAGGACCACGGATACAAGTGGTCAAAATGAGTTTCTTCCGCAAGGTGGCTGGGTGCTCCCTGAGAGAAAGGGTGAGAAGCTCAGTCACATGGGAGGATCCTGGAGCAGAGCCGCTGCTCCTCCACATCGAGAGGAGCTAGTTGAGGTGGCTTGGGCATTTGTTCTGGACACTTCCATCAGGAGTTGTTGCAGACATGTCCCACAGGGAGGAGGTCCAGGGGAAGATCAAGGATATGCTAGAGGGACTATGTTTCTCAGCTGGCCTGGGAACGCCTTGGGGTTCCCCTGGAGGAACTGGAGGAAGTGTCTGGGATGAAGGAAGTCTGGGAGTCCCTGTTTAGACTGCTGCCCCCATGACCCAGCCCCGGATAAGCAGAAGAAAATGGATAGATAGAGATTCAGTTGACAGTCATAGGCCTGTCACAATGATTATTGATACTTTGCAGCTGATATGATGTCATCAACATTCTTTGGAGGTGATGCTAGCTGTAGGCACTGCCCTGTCTGCAGCTCTGTTACTCAGGTCAGACATTAATCTGACCTTTGTTTTAACACAATCTGATCAAACGAGCTGATGTGGTTAAAACTACAACAAGTGATCTGATTGTGCTGTTAAATAACCATTATTACACTCAAACAACATTACAGTCACAAGCTAGCTAGCACTCTAGTCACTCACACCTCTTAAATCCAACTCCTCCACAGGACCATGGACGCTCGCACTGGTCACAGGCACATGTGCTGTTTAAATGCATCTTGTCTTTTATTCATTTGACAGTTTGCTAATGTGTGTATTGTGTCACCATGGTAACTGCTGAACATTCTCCTGTAGACATACATATAGAATACCCCAACTATTCATAGACTGATGGAGAATAAATGGTGGAGTGTTGCAGAGAAGAGGAGGAGGTGATTTACATGAATACAGATCCAGCACAGAGACATGAACCATCAGGACTCTGTGAGAGAGTCCATTCAGCCTAGTACAAGCCAGTGTGGCTCTGCTTCTGCTGTAGGGAGTATTATAGCTCTGGGCTGAGTTGGCAGTATGGGGCTGGCATAGCACAGAAATGCACTTTTTTTTTATTTTTTTTTATTGTGAACATTTTTATTGTTGTCAGTATATGACAGTACAGTAGTTCCATAGTTATATCTTATTACGTTTTATTTTTCAGCCCAAGAGTTTGTTTTCATACGTGACAGTTTGGATTGCTCCATGAGGTCTTCCTCAGAGTCACATGATGTTGCTGTGACGTGTCTGGTCAGCTGATTTATACAGAAGGTCGTCCTGCCTCCACTGGTAGGAAGACAACGCCCAAACCTGTTTAAATCAGCTGTGCGAGAAGTCACAGCAACATTACGCGACTCTGAGGAAGAACGCAGGGAGTCACGTATGAAAACAAACTGTTGGACTGAAAAAATAATCTAATAACATAAATTACCAGAAGATCAAATGAACCTCATTGGACCATAGTTATACTTTTTTTTTTCTTTATTACAATAAGATTTGAGCCATAGAGGGCTGGATAAATAACCTCCATGACTCACTATAGATACAGTATCTATACTATATACTATAGCTATAGTATCAGTATATTTAATTCTGCTGATGACTTATTTAATGCAGCTCATGTTTTAGTGATATTGTCCTTTTTTTTAACTTTACTATAATCCTGCTTTAGAGTTACTGTGTCAGTGGCATACACTAATTTCAGTATTATCATTTATCAAAGAGATCTCGATATCACTGAAACATGTATGGACATAAAACCAGTGTTTTAACATGGTAGAGAGCTCCAAAATGTCAATTTTGCAGAATACGGCGTCTTTAAAAGTGCGATATTGTAGTTTGAGGAATAATGTGTGATGTAAAAGTGTGTGTGTGTGGAGCTTGGATGGTGTGAGTTACTCTGAGTGTGTGGGAGGAGAGAGAGAATACAGGACACAGGAGAGGCTTCTGCATATGACATCATTTATGACACACCCAGGTAAACAACAGTGAACAGCTCAACAACAGGATCAAAACAACAACACACACGCACACAGTGGTGATGACACTTGTTCATGTTTTCCTGATTCTGACCTGGTTTGGTGGATAGAACTTTTGTTTATCATAGTTTTACATCAGTTACATTACGGTCTTTAGGGAAAAGTACAAAGATGCAGGAAGTAAAATGGTAGTGTATATCTCTGCATACAGTATGTCATCAACACTGAAACCCCATCCAAAAAAGGGACTATTTACACACAAGAAAGGCATTTTTTTCAGTTTAAACCTTTACTTAATAATACCAAGCTGTTGTCATACATTTTTTATTTATCTAATCAAAACTGTTGTGTAATTTAGATACATTTTGGCCTTGTTTACATATGTTTGCTGGGTAACATTATAGACTTAGTTTCACCCAACTCAGTTTAACTCAATTAAATTTCATCAAAATTAAAAATCTAAAAAGAATTTGGTGAGATTCTTAGTAAAAATCTGAAATGTTTGTGTACTTCTTGTATTTGCACTTTTTTCCCCCCAGATTTTCTTCATAAACTTGTAAAAACTATGATAAATATTCATATATAGTATCCACCAAACCACAAAACAACTAGAAAAAAAATATCATATGCACTTTATTATTATGAAATGCAACAAAAATCACAATGTAGACACTTCAGATTTAAAAATACAACATTACATTAAAAAAAGTATGTTTCAAAAATAAATTACATTTGTGTAATGATCAACACTGCATTGACAAAAATCAAGACATATCTCATTTCCATTAAGGAGCTCTAAATTTTCTGGTGGATTGCTTTTCCTGGAATGTTACTCATTAAACTTATCTATCTCACTGGAAACAGGCATTGTAGGGCATTGTTTCCCAAAGACTGGGTTGCGAACTTCAGGTGGGGCGCAAGAAATTTTTTTTGGGTTGCCGTGTTACAATCTGCATGTAGGTCTGCAGTATATAGTTCTGCCTATACACCTGATGTGCTGCTGCGCTCTCCTCCTGCACCCGGACTGGAACACGCGACAAAAACACAGACAGGCTCATCTATCACATTAGAAATGTTCAGATGTTAAGACACGTTTTGTATAATTTCTAATCTTTTTGTACCGCATTTTTCTCAAAAATTGACAGTGCGCTTTATAATCCGGTGCGCCTTAAGTATTAATTCTGCTTGTGCTTACTGACCTGGAACCGATTTTATGTGGTACACAACGCTCAAAAATCAGTAAGAATGTTTTAGTACTACTTTGGTAAGTGAAGTGGCACCGCTATACGATCTGTGTGTAGACTTTTTATATCGGAAAAGTTTCACATGAACAATCTCCAATGCAATGCAGGCACAGTTCAGACTCACCGTCAGCAGCACATCCTCAGAGAGAACACACATGTTCCACTGAGTTGTGTCCTTTAGTCCGACAGAAGCCGACCGCATCAGTGCACAAGGAGCGAGCTGTTTTTATCAGCACTTATAGTTCATGCAAATGAGCCATGTGGTTTTAAGTTTAGTTTCTGTAAAACGTAATCAAATATGTGCACAAAGCTGCATTAAACACATTATCACTCAACGTATATTTGAGTCGTCCTCGTAGGAAATTTTTTTAAAAATTACAAAACTTAAATGACCCACCTACATTCACATTTATAATACAGATTCACCAAGACAGGGAGGCAAGGATCAGTCTCAAGTGTCATCCACTTAAAGTGCCTTATAATCCGGTGCATTGATGTATGAAACTAGACAAGAGAATTCAACTTTATTGATATTGCGCCTTGTAATCCAGTGTCCCTTATAGTCCGAAAAATACAGCAACTGTTTTATTGACTATTTTGTTCCAGTATTGCTGATTCAACTGAATGAAAAGAAAAAGAAATGGGCTACATTTAATGTCCAAATAGGCAACTTATAGATCCTTTTATTGCTGCTTCAGTGACTGTTTTTCATTGTTTCAAACTTGAGTAATAATAATTGATCAGAGACACGATCACTCAGTCAACAATAAAATGTCCTCATTAATGTTCAGTAATACTCAAATCCACTTTTATTTGATTTACAAATAATGTCTATTGACTTAGGTCGCGAAGGTTTGTGTCTTTTAAAATATGAATCTCCAGAAAAAAAGGCTGGGAAACACTGCTGTACGTGTTAAGTTATAGAGGTGAACCCGCTCAAAGTGAGAATGCATGTGTGCATACATTCTGAGGACCTTTTCAAATTCAAAAGAGATAATTTTTTTTTTTATTGTTAATCGCTATGGCAACACACTCCATTTCTCATCATTCATCTCATGTAATTTTCATGGGTTTCAGCTTCCTCTCATATATGCAACATTTTGAAAACTTTTTCCCATTTAAAAGATATTATGGATAGGTGAATTTAATGCCATACTGTGGAACATTCAAGGAAAAACAATGACATCTCCATGAAGACAAGAAGGTGTTGTGGATCCTCTACCAGCAAGGTGATAGTACAAGCTTAAAGGGCCCATATTACACTGTTTTCTGATCTTTGTTATAATATTGTTTCCTCATCACAAACAAAACCTGGATTTGTATTTTGTATTCCACTTTTGTTGCACCTCGTGATGTCATGTAGTAATACAGGAAGTGCTTCACTGTGTTTTTAAAATCCATACATCTTCACTAGCTTTATTTTGATCATTTCAGGCCTGTGGAATTACCAATCTCTACTGAACTAAAAGTAAAAGGTATCTGAACTTGAAAACTACTGCTTTGGAGATACAGACAGACTAATAAAAGTATTACTCAAATGTGTGAATGAAACAAAACATAATTTCAGGTCTGTTTTTAATGCAGTAAGGACATTATAACATGGATAAAAGTTATAATGTTGAATACTTTAAAGTTGAATACTGGTTGGGCTTCATTTGTGCGATGGTCCAGTGCAGTGGGAGGTTGAGATGGTGTGTTCGATCCAGTTTCTGTACCTGGAAACTGAGGTGTAGACTCCTGGAAACCCGTCCTTCCCACAGGAACGCCCCCATGAAACCAGACCGAAGACCTGAGACCTGCACACCAGGGGCCCACCTGAGTCACCCTGAGGAGACAGAGGAGACCACATCTACTGTGAACATACATATATTATTATTGTTATAAAATTTTATATTTGTTACTTCTGATTAGTGACCAGTGACTACTGAGAAAGATCAGCTGACAACAAGGGAAAGACCCTGTAATGACTAACAAGAAGAAGAAGAAGAAGAAAAAAAGAAGTGCTTGCAAAGTCCAAACTCAGGGCAACAGATTGTGCCAGATGAAACTTTGTGCCAGTGCACTTAGAGAGGGTGGATGGAGAAGTTCAAGTAACAACCTTGTGTGATGAAGGAAGAAAGAAAAGGCAAGGACAAAATTTTTAGGTACAAATTTAGAAATCCTGATTCCTAAAGAAAAAATATGCATCTGCAATCGAACAGTTTCTGCAAATTTACCTTCTTAATATAGACAGAAAATCTTCTTAAACGTGGTGGTGCAGAGATGAACAAAGTATTTGAAATCTAATCAATTCACTGACACATCAGAGCAAGTAGAAGGAATAGCAGGTTTATCTGGGTGTTTGGAGCACACCAGTGTCATATGGCATTAAATTCAATCTGCCAAAGAGGAACAAAAGGAGTCCTATGTCTTGGATTGACAAATGCTTATGGCTGTATTCCACATTCATTCATATGTACTTCATTTACATTTTTCACATACTAGAGAAGATTACAATTCATTCTTCAGTGATCTGGAGACCTGTATTTCTATACCACAGTTCACTACAGCTAGGCAGTCAGTGGAAAAGGGAGCTACGGCAGGCTGCGCTGTGTCACAATGGCAGCAGAACATCAAAATGGATGTCAGGAGGAAAACATCTACAGAACAACTACCACCAATAAGGACAGAAGACAGTTACAGCAACAGTACCCTTCACCAGAAGGCCTCTAAAAAAAACTCAGAAACATCACAGAATGAAAGTAAAGCCCAGCAAAAGCAGAAGCAGCTCCATTGGCAAAGGTCACATCTCAGAGCAGAGCCTCCACATGAATGGAAGGCCCATTCCAACTATCTCAGAGTTGCCCGTGAAGAGTCTGAGACAATGTATAATCAAAGTCTGAAAGACACAGATCAAAATTCAACAATTTAGTGCTTGGCTCATTTGAATATAATATTATTGCTAGGCTTAAAGTTGTGGTGCCTCCAGTATGCTCATTTCTGAGACGTATGTGGCCACTGAAAATGTATGAAAACCCAGTGAGCAAAGTGAAGATGCCAGAGCGCAATCAGTGTGCATGAAACAGTGGCTTGGAGTTCCACCATGTATGAGCCCAGTTGGTTTATATGGGACAGGAAACTGGAGTTGCCAGTAAAAGGCCTGGTGGAAAAATTCAAGAACATCAAATTAAGACTTGTTATGACTCTCAATTGACTCACAGGAGTACATTCTTCAAAGGTAAATGCAGGAAAGAAATGGGCTCAAACTGAAACAGTCCAAAATGCCACATCATCTCTATGTCATATGTCATGGCCCCCAATCGAGTAAGGGAGAGCTGGCTTTGGGTCGATACCACGTATTCCTCGGTGGAATAAGGCTACACCTGTGGAACGACATCAGGTTGTAGTGGAAGAGATGAGAAGGCAGGAGGAAGAAAAAAGGGAGACGAAAGGAATGCAAAGCTCATGTCAATGGCCAGAGAAGGTCAATGGACTAACAATGGAAGGTCCACCATTGAGCTTCATCATCAGAAGCTAAGCAGGGCTGGGCCTGGTCGGGACTTGGATGGGAGACCTGGGAAAATCAGGTGGCATAGGGAGGCGCCAGTCGCAAAAAACTCATTGTGTCCTTAAGCAAGACACTTCACCCATATTGCCTAGTATGAAAGTGGTGTGTGCGTGAGTGATGGTGGTTGTCAGAGGGACCGATGGCGCAGACTGGCAGCCACACTTCAGTCAGTCTGCCCCAGGGCAGCTGTGGCTACAATAGGAGTGAGTAGGAGTGACTGAATAATGCTCTGTAAAGCGTCTTTGTGACAAATGTCTGTGAAAAACGTTATAGAAATAAAACTTAGTTACTTCATACTACGAGCAACATATGACCTCCTTCCATCATCTTAAAATCTACACCAATGGTTTAGTGAAGACCCAAGCCCCTACATCATTAAAGCATGTCCTGTCAGCTGTATGTTACAGGGGTAAATTATATATATAGACGGTCTGAATAATGACATCAGCCCAATAAATGAGGGAATGGTAAACTATTTACCATTACTGAAGCGAGAACTTATATAGTACAACCAATGAAACCAGAACTGTTAAAAATAAATACATTATATTTACAATAAAATTATTCAAAACCAGGACCATTAAAAATGTAAATATAAAAAAATGAAGGTAAAGTTCAGCTGTGTTCAGTCCATGTGTCTTTCCCTGTTCCATGTCCACACCTCTCGCAGGTGTGACCTGAGCACAAAGAGGAGAAGCACCAACCAACCAGACAATAACACCAAAAGCCTCATATTACCCCCACCAGGGACACTCAGGGGGCTGGAAGAGCTCCTCACCCTGCCGATGTGTCTCTGAGCATCCAACTAGTTCTCAGGTGCGCCTTTTGTCCACTACCGGCCTCACACCACCTCCTGAACCTCTAGACCAGGAGACACAACACAAGGCCAGCATCCCATACACAGCAAAATGGTCCTGTAGCCCTGAGCTTTCTTCACGAGTACTGCTAGCCCACCAACCTCACATCTCCATCTTCTCTGTCCTCTTTCCCATCATGTCTCCTTTTACATGATTCTCTGTGTCCTAGTGTTAGAGCATCCGTGTCACGTGGCGTGTGTTGTCTAGACAAGCACAAAATACACCAATATTATAAAAACACACTAAAAGCAAAGAACTACAGTCTTTCCCACTGGGGTCCCATTACATATTCGACTAGCCTTTCTCGGACATATCCTTCCTCATAATCAAGTATTAAGGCAGAGTTGGACAACTTCTCTGCAACAGATTTCAACAATGAGCCTCAACTAAGCCCATGTTTGTCCCAGCAGACCACCCAACAAATCACCATAGTGCACCTAAGAGTGTGAACCCCTGCAGGTCACACAGGATTGGAAGTAGCAGATGACCTTGATAAAATAATTGATGTGGCCACAGCACTCTGTCCAGATATGGTGTCTTCAGCAGCAGTAAAAGTGATAGTGACAGAGTGTTAGAACGGTTCCAATAGGAAGAGGGTACTTAGGAATCCTTTGAGAGACAAAAGACCATATACTCAGAGTTAGTACTTCAAGTAGCCCAGAATGGATGGAAAATTAACGTCTTTCCAGTTTTAGTAGAGTGCAGGGGGGTTGTGGTAACATCCATAACCTACCTGTTAAAGAAAGTTGGGTTAAGAGGGTCCTCACTTCGGTAAATCATCAAGTCATTTATAACAGAAAATAAAACAGCAGAGGAGGAGGCTAAGGGCATGTGCCTGGAGTGCCCTCTGGAAATGTGGTGGTCTAAAAGAAGGAGGGCCCTCACAGGACCCCAAGGAAACAATTTACCTTCTGAACTACAGGCCATGATTAAAATCAGTGACTCAGCTCAGGGATTCTAGCTCTACTTCTCATCATAAACCAGGTCTGATTACCTGTTTAACTGTAATCTGAAAGTTAAACAGTATTTCCTCCACACAATAGGCTTTGTTCCTGTGACGTAAGCACACTGCAGACTCCCTCTAGTTTAAACTGAGCTGGAGAGAGGTCTGGATTCTATGGTGGACAGATTGCAGACTTGTTGACCTGGTTTATGGTTTATATGTGTGTAATTACTGGGCATATCCACATGAAACAAAAAACGGCACAAAGTTCAACATCTTCTCTTCTATAAACATAGGTTCAACATTAGTGATTTCACTCCCTTGGAAGTGTACGATTTTACCTGACATTTTTGTCAATATGTAATTATTCATATTCATATATTACTTCATATCTTGAATCTCAGACTTTTATCAAGATTTTGTACAGTCTGGTAAATATTTTCAGTTTATATGAGCAAAAACCCATTTCTGGATTCCACTGGTTCCATGGTTAGAACATGAATCCTCAAAATCTCAGAACTACCTAAAACGCACATAGAACCTTATAAGAGCACTAATAATGGTGCTGAGAAATGTTATGATTTTAAAAGGCAGGTTAGCAATGAAAAGACATGTTATTATCTTAAATTGGATTTTTTTTTAAATATAACAATTAAATAAAATAATCAGGTAACATTTTGACTTCTTGGAATATCCACAATGATTTCGAAGCTTTATTCTGAGAATCAAATCAATGTCCAACATTGTTTTGAGGTAACAATGGCACTTTTGGAGCATTGATCCTCCTCTGCCTGGTACCACAGACAGTTCCCAGCACTGGGACCTTTGAGCTTTATTTTGGGAGATACTCGATACTGGGCGAGTCTGGAGACCAGACACTATTCACAGACGCTTACGCACATGGAGAGGTCAGATGTACACGATAACAGGGGTCAAGGCACCTGCACAAGCTTAAATTACTGGGTACTCTTGTAGAAGTAGTAGTAGTACTACTAGTATTAGTACTACTACTACTACTACTACTACTACTACTACTACTACTAGATGTCCATAAAAGGTCACAGCACCTACAGACTTAACTGGATATGGTTGTAGTAGCAGCAGCAGTAGTAGTAATACTAGTATTAGTAGGACACAGAGAGGTCAGATGTCCAAAACTGCTGTCTGTTAGACAACTGGATACTGTTTTAGACTTTGTAGTACTAGTAGTAGCAACAAAAGTAACTGTAGTAGCAGGAGGAGGAGAAGAGGTAAGATATTCACAATAACTGAATACTGTTGTTTATATAGTAGAAGTAGTAGTAGTAGTATAGTTGTAGTAGTAGTAGTAGTAGTAGTAGTATAGTTGTAGTAGTAGTAGTAGTAGTAGTAGTAGTAGTAGTAGTATAGTTTATAGTAGTAGAAGTAGTAGAAGTAGTAGTACTAGCAGTAGCAGTAGCAGTAGTAGTAGTAGTAGTAGTTGTAATAGTAGTAGTAGTAGTAGTACTGTATAGTGGTAGCAGTAGTAGTAGTAGTAGTAGTAGTTGTAATTGTAGTAGTAGTAGTTGTTGTAATTGTAGTAGTAGTAGTGGTAATATAGTAGTAGTAGTAGTAGTAGTAGTAGTAGTAGTAGTAGTAGTAGTACAGTTTGGGAACCCGTAGGACTGTTTTGTTTTGGGGGTTTTTTTTTTTTTTTTTTAATCTGCTACACACTTTCATAAACTGTAGCCGTAATATTTGGGTGTAAATTTATAAATCAGTGCCAGAACTTTGAGCCAATATTCAGATTTACAAGCGAACAAATTGTTTTTCAAGACAACTCCTCTCCTCCAAACAGCACTCATTGAAAAAATCTCTCCTCTCTCTCTGACATGTTTTCTCTCTCTCTTTCCCTCTCTCTCTCTTTCTCTCTCTCTGTCTGTTAAATATAGCCGTTAATTAGTGATTCAGTACAGACCCGAGGCATAACAACATATAGCTCTCTCCCCCTCTTTGCTCTATCTCTCTCCCCCTTCTCCCTATGTCTCTGTTCGTAAAGCCCCCCTCTTTTTTCTCTCTTTCGCTCCCTTTCTCTGTCCTCTCTAAGTCTCTACGTTCTTCTGTCTATCTACCTCTCTTTCTCTCTCATTCCTCAAGTGTATAGTATGGTTTAATTAAAAATGAGCCTTTCCTTTCAAAGTAGTCCACAGTGAATCCTCTGCTCCTCTTCTCCTCTCCTCTATTCCTCTGACCTCTCCTCTATTCCTCTGACCCTCTCCTCTATTCCTCTATTCCTCTGACCCTCTCCTCTATTCCTCTATTCCTCTGACCCTCTCATCTTCTCTGACTCTCTCCTCTCCACAAATTGATCTAGGTCAGGAGTACCTAGGTGTTGTGCATTATTGAGGACAGTTGATTGGATTAAATGTATAGCAGGGAATTGAACCGATGAACTTGCTGTAAGTTGGCAATGTGATCAACCATACCCCCATAGTGAATATACTGACCCAGTTTTCTATTATTGTCAGGATTTTATCAACATTTAATACTTGCTGTTACATAATCCTCCTGTCATTGTGGTATTACTGGAAATCCGCCAACTTAAATCCTGTATTTATTACTAGTTTCTTTCTGGTTCCACTAAAAATTCAATCCTCGACATGGGATTTGAGCCAAACAGCGTCCTGTCCTTCCCACAGACACAGACACATGTGGGACATGGGCTGTGGATGTGCCAGGAGCAGATCAGGTGACTCTGTTCTGTCCTGGGATTAACATGTAAAAAAAGCCAGTGAAGGGACAATGAAATCAAGACAACAACAACATTTAATTGCTATAGTTTGGAAATGTCTTTTTCTAAAGCTGGGTGGCCAAAAGGATTTTGTTTTGTGCAGACTGTTAAGCTCCCTGACGCGCATCTTTGATTTCTTCTGATCAAATGGACAGATATTGTTCATGTTTTGTCGCCCTGGCCTAGGGGAGTTTGTCCTCTGCATTTGACCTGTCCTTCAATGTCACTAGTAGCCTGGCAAATTCAGAGTGATCTCTCTCTAAAATACAGAGATCAGTCTGGTCCCCACACTCTGTCACATCTCCAACCACAACCCAACATGATCGTGTAATCTTTTTTTTTGTTTTTTTTGTTTTGTTTTTTCAAAAAGGGCAGATGTCCACAGTAAGAAACAGTACCTGACAACTGGATACTGTTTTAGATTTTGTAGTACAAGTAGTAGTAACAAAAGTAATAGTCAAAAGTAATAGTAGTAGTTGTAGTAGTAGTAGCAGTAGAAGTAGTAGGAGAGGTCAGATGTTAAGGATAATTTAAGGGTCCTCTTGGTGCATCACTCGTGGTCACACTTGGTCTCATGTTTACTTTGTTTTATGGTGTTTATGTGCTGCTTTGTGTTGTGTTGTCCTGTTTTTTGATAAAACATGTTACCCCCTGTCCCAAGACAAATTTCTCCCATGGGAGACAATAAAGGATTATCTTATCTTATCTTATGTCCAGATGTCTCTTACACGAGTGGATACTGTTGTCTATGTAGTAGTAGTAGTAGTAGTAGTAGTAGTAGTAGTAGTAGAACTAGTAGTTGTTGTAATAGTAGTAGTTTTTTATTTATTTTTTTCATTGACACATGTGAAACAAAAACAAAATCAATGATTCGCTTAGTGATTCTGCAGAAATCTGTCATGTTTTTCAGCCCAGACATTTGTTTCTTTTTCCCATTTGAACTCTAGAGATTCACCAGTGACCACACACTTATCTTTGTAAAGAATAGGCTCTCTTCACACTTACGTCACAAACCAGGAACATGTTTGAAAAGATGGAATGACTATTTCCAGTGTACCTACTGACTGTGATCAAACCCACTGAGGTAAATGTGATCTGTGATAAAATGAAGACTGCAGACGTATGTGCTGTTTGGGAATCATCTGGAATTTGGTGCCTCATCTCTTCTAATCACATGTACCCATGTACCCACATGAGTGCTCAGAGTTGTGTGTCAATGGGGAAATGATGAAAACTGAGGGATGGTTGGAATTGTTGATTATCCAAACAAAACAGAATGCTACAATAACATGGAGATGAAGAAAACTGGGACATTTTCTCATTTTTCCTTGATTTTGTCTGACTTACTAGAGCAAACAGAGACCAAAGGAAGTTGTAATTGCATCTTTTCAAACGTCTACCTGGTTTGTGACGTAAGCGTGAATAGAGTCTGTTGATGGAGCACGTGTTCTGATCCCAGCCAATGTCACTGACTTGATGACCGCAATGTGAATTTTTTAAAGGACTTTTAATAATAATACGTTTTAATGCAAAACTCATATTGATATTGTGATTAAAGGCCATTGTATTACTTATGTTGGACTGAAACAAAAAACACTGGTAATCACTAAAAGAACCCCACCCAGATATAGGGAGAACATGCAGACTCCAAGAAGTGAGATTCAGGTGGTCCACTCACACACTCCAGGACTCACACTCTAGTACACACACTCCAGTACACACACTCCTGTTCCCAAGCTGCTGAGGCACAAGCTGTTTATGTACTGTAATACACTTGCCTGATGCACACATGCGACACACACACACACACGCACACACTCCACACACTCCACACACACCCTGGTCCAGTCTTGTTCCAGTTCTAGTTCAAATCTGGTCCAGTCCTAGTCCAGTCCTGGTCCAGTTCTGGTTCAGTCCTGGTCCAGTTCTGGTTCAGTCCTGGTCCAGTCCCGGTCCAGTCCTCGTCTAGTCCTGTACCTGGCATGAGTCTTTCCCCGTGGAGCCTGCACAGATCATGTTCTGGGTGATGGTCCCGTTGAAAGAGCGGCTGCTATTACAGCGCTCGGAGGAGACCACAGAGACCCAGACAGTGCGGAGGGCAGGAGAGTTCTTCTGCTTTGAGTCTGAAGATGTGGAGCCCCAGCCAGATACCTTACACCACTGGCCCTTCTCCGGGACGGAGCCTTGTTTGGGGAGAGGCACCAGCGACACAGCCTCACTCTGAACCAGGGGCCAGGAGAGCTGTGTGGGGAACAGGAGGACAATTAGAGACAAGTAGAGACAAGAAGAGACAGTTACAGACAGGAAGAGACATGCAGAGACAGTTAGAGACAGGCAGAGACAGGTAGAGACAAGTAGAGACAAATAGAGATATGTAGAGACAGTTAGAGACAGTTAGAGACAGGTAGAGACAGTTGGAGACATGTAGAGACAGTTAGAGACATTAGAGACAGTTAGAGACAGTTAGAGACATGTAGAGACAGTTAGAGACATGTAGAGACATGTAGAGACAGTTAGAGACAGTTAGAGACATGTAGAGACATGTAGAGACAGTTAGAGACAGACAGTAAGAGAGACATTGTAGAGACAGTTAGAGACATGTAGAGACAGTTTGTAGAGACATGTAGAGACAGTTAGAGACAGTTAGAGACATGTAGAGACAGTTGGAGACATAGAGACAGAGACAGTTGGAGACATGTAGAGACAGTTAGTTAGAGACATGTAGAGACAGAGTTAGAGACATGTTAGAGAGAGTGTAGAGACAGTTGGAGACATGTAGAGACAGTTAGAGACAGTTAGAGAGACAGTTAGAGACATGTAGAGACAGTTTAGAGACATGTAGAGACAGTTAGAGACATGTAGAGAGACATGTAGAGACAGAGACAGTTAGAGACACATGTAGACAGTAGAGACATGTAGAGACAGTGTAGAGACATGTAGAGACAGTAGAGACATGTAGAGACAGACATGTAGAGACAGTTAGAGACATGTAGAGACAGACATGTAGAGACAGTTAGAGACATGTTAGAGACAGTTAGAGACATGTAGAGACAGACATTAGAGACATGTAGAGACAGTTAGAGACAGTTGTAGAGAGACAGTTACAGTTAGAGACATGTAGAGACAGACAGTAGAGACATGTAGAGACAGTTAGAGACAGTTAGAGACATGTAGAGACAGTTGGAGACATTAGAGACATGTAGAGACAGTTGGAGACATGTAGAGACAGTTAGGTAGAGAGAGACATGTAGAGACAGTTAGAGACATGTAGAGACATGTAGAGACATGTAGAGACAGTTAGAGACATGTAGAGACAGTAGAGACATGGAGACAGTTAGAGACATGTAGAGACAGTTAGAGACATGTAGAGACATGTAGAGACAGTTGAGAGACATGTAGAGACAGTTAGAGACATGTAGAGACAGTTAGAGACATGTAGAGACAGTTAGAGACATGTAGAGACATGTTAGAGACAGTTTAGAGACAGTGTAGAGACAGTTAGAGACATGTAGAGACAGACATGTAGAGACATGTAGAGACAGTGTTAGAGACATGTAGAGACAGTTAGAGACAGTGTAGAGACATGTAGAGACATGTTAGAGACAGTGTAGAGGACATGTAGAGACAGTTGGAGACATGTAGAGACAGTTTAGAGACATGTAGAGACAGTAGAGACAGTTAGAGACAGTTAGAGACAGTAGAGACAGTGTAGAGACATGTAGAGACAGTTAGAGACATGTAGAGACAGTTAGAGACATGTAGAGACAGTTGGAGACATGTAGAGACATGTAGAGACAGACATGTAGAGACATGTAGAGACATGTAGAGACAGTTAGAGACATGTAGAGACAGTTAGAGACATGTAGAGACAGTTGGAGACATGTAGAGACAGTTAGGAGACATGTAGAGACAGTTAGAGACAGTTAGAGACAGTGTAGAGACATGTAGAGACAGTTGTAGAGACATGTAGAGACAGTTAGAGACAGACATGTAGAGACAGTTAGAGACATGTAGAGACAGTTGGAGACATGTAGAGACGAGACATGTAGAGACATGTAGAGACATGTAGAGACAGTTGGAGACATGTAGAGACAGTAGAGACAGAGACATGTAGAGACATGTAGAGACAGTTAGAGACAGTTAGACAGACATGTGAGACAGAGACAGTGTAGAGACAGTAGAGACATGTAGAGACAGACATTAGAGACATGTAGAGACAGTTGTAGAGACATGTAGAGACATGTAGAGACAGTGTAGAGACATGTAGAGACAGTTAGAGACATGTAGAGACAGACATGTAGAGACAGTTGGAGACATGTAGAGACATGTAGAGACAGTTGGAGACATGTAGAGACAGTTAGAGACAGACATGTAGAGACAGTGTAGAGACATGTAGAGACAGTTAGAGACAGTTAGAGACATGTAGAGACAGACATGTAGAGACATGTAGAGACAGAGACATGTAGAGACATGTAGAGACATGTAGAGACAGTAGAGACATGTAGAGACAGTTGGAGACATGTAGAGACAGTTAGAGACATGTAGAGACAGTTAGAGACAGTTAGAGACATGTAGAGACATGTAGAGACATGTGACAGTTAGAGACATGTAGAGACAGTTTGGAGACATGTAGAGACAGACATGTAGAGACATGTAGAGACATGTAGAGACAGTTAGAGACATGTAGAGACAGTTAGAGACATGTAGAGACAGTTAGAGACATGTAGAGACAGTTGGAGACATGTAGAGACAGTTAGAGACAGTAGAGAGAGACAGTTAGAGACATGTAGAGACAGTTAGAGACATGTAGAGACAGTGTAGAGACATGTAGAGACAGTGTAGAGACATGTAGAGACATGTAGAGACAGTTGGAGACATGTAGAGACAGACATGTAGAGACAGTTAGAGACATGTAGAGACAGTTAGAGACATGTTAGAGACAGTTAGAGACAGTTAGAGACATGTAGAGACAGTTAGAGACATGTAGTTGGAGACATGTAGAGACAGTTGGAGACATGTGTAGAGTTAGAGACAGTTAGAGACATGTAGAGACAGTTAGAGACATGTAGAGACAGTTGGAGACATGTAGAGACAGTTAGAGACAGAGACATGTAGAGACAGTTAGAGACATGTAGAGACAGTGTAGAGACAGTAGAGACATGTAGAGACATGTAGAGACAGTAGAGACATGTAGAGACATGTAGAGACAGTTAGAGACATGTAGAGACAGTGTGGAGACATGTAGAGACAGTGTAGAGACATGTAGAGACATGTAGAGACAGACATTAGAGACAGTTAGAGACATGTAGAGACAGTTGTAGAGACAGTTAGAGACATGTAGAGACAGTTAGAGACATGTAGAGACAGTTAGAGACATGTAGAGACAGTTAGAGACATGTAGAGACAGTTAGAGACATGTAGAGACAGTTAGAGACATGTAGAGACAGTTGGAGACATGTAGAGACAGTTGGAGACATGTAGAGACAGTTAGAGACATGTAGAGACATGTAGAGACAGTTAGAGACATGTAGAGACAGTTGTAGAGACATGTAGAGACAGTTAGAGACATGTAGAGACAGTTGGAGACATGTAGAGACAGTTAGAGACAGTGTAGAGACATGTAGAGACAGTTAGAGACAGTTAGAGACAGAGACATGTAGAGACATGTAGACAGTTGGAGACATGTAGAGACAGTTAGAGACATGTAGAGACATGTAGAGACAGTTAGAGACATGTAGAGACAGTTAGAGACAGTTAGAGACATGTAGAGACATGTAGAGACAGTTAGAGACATGTAGAGACAGTTGGAGACATGTAGAGACAGTTAGACATGTAGAGACATGTAGAGACAGTTAGAGACATGTAGAGACATGTAGAGACAGTTGGAGACATGTAGAGACAGTTAGAGACATGTAGAGACAGTTAGAGACATGTAGAGACATGTAGAGACATGTAGAGACATGTAGAGACAGTTAGAGACATGTAGAGACATGTAGAGACAGTTGGAGACATGTAGAGACGAGACATTAGAGACATGTAGAGACAGTTAGAGACATGTAGAGACAGACATGTAGAGACATGTAGAGACATGTAGAGACAGTGTAGAGACATGTAGAGACAGTGTGGAGACATGTAGAGACAGTTAGAGACATGTAGAGACATGTAGAGACATGTAGAGACATGTAGAGACAGTTAGAGACATGTAGAGACATGTAGAGACATGTTAGAGACAGTTAGAGACATGTAGAGACAGTTAGAGACATGTTAGAGACAGTTAGAGACATGTAGAGACAGTTGGAGACATGTTAGACAGAGAGACAGTTAGAGACATGTAGAGACAGTTAGAGACATGTAGAGACAGTGTAGAGACATGTAGAGACATGTAGAGACATGTAGAGACATGTAGAGACAGTGTGTAGAGACATGTAGAGACAGACATGTAGAGACAGTTGGAGACATGTAGAGACAGACATGTAGAGACATGTAGAGACAGTTGGAGACATGTAGAGACAGTTAGAGACATGTAGAGACAGTTAGAGACATGTAGAGACAGTTGGAGACATGTAGAGACAGTTAGAGACATGTAGAGACAGTTAGAGACATGTAGAGACAGTTGTAGAGACATGTAGAGACATGTAGAGACAGTTAGAGACATGTAGAGACAGTTAGAGACATGTAGAGACAGTTAGAGACATGTAGAGACAGTTGTAGAGACAGTTGGAGACTGTAGAGACAGACATGTAGAGACATGTAGAGACATGTAGAGACAGTTAGAGACATGTAGAGACAGTTAGAGACATGTAGAGACATGTAGAGACAGAGACATGTAGAGACAGTAGAGACATGTAGAGACAGGTAGAGACATGTAGAGACATGTAGAGACATGTAGAGACATGTAGAGACAGGTAGAGACATGTAGAGACAGTTGGAGACATGTAGAGACAGTTAGAGACATGTAGAGACATGTAGAGACATGTAGAGACAGTTAGAGACATGTAGAGACAGTTAGAGACATGTAGAGACAGTTGGAGACATGTAGAGACAGTTAGAGACATGTAGAGACAGTAGAGACATGTAGAGACAGTTGGAGACATGTAGAGACAGTTAGAGACATGTAGAGACAGTTAGAGACATGTAGAGACAGACAGTTGGAGACATGTAGAGACAGTTAGAGACATGTAGAGACAGTAGTAGAGACATGTAGAGACAGTTAGAGACAGTTAGAGACATGTAGAGACAGTTGGAGACATGTAGAGACAGTTTAGACAGAGACAGTAGAGACAGTTAGAGACATGTAGAGACAGTAGAGACATGTAGAGACAGTTAGAGACATGTAGAAGTGGTTCAGATGCGGTACCTGGTTTTTCTTTAAAAAATGAAACACAAAATTAGTTTTTTTTTTTAAAGTTTACAGTGTTTCAAAGTTCTTCTTCACTTACCTTGTGCATTCAAAACATCCTAATTATTCACTACAATGACTTTCTGAGCACTTTTCACAACTTTCAGAGACCAGAGCAGAGTTTTGCCATCACAGTAAAGTGAAAAAAGGACAAGATCCTCTTCCTTAAGACACTCTCCTGTCTGGGGATTGTGCTGTGCAGGGGGTGCTGGGGTTATGCAGGATGGACAGGTTTCAGGTTTTTGCACTGGCTTTCTAAAAGCCTAAATACCATAATTTTTGTACTATAAGGCTCAATTAAAATCCTTTAATTTTCTCAGCAATAGACAGTGCTCCTTATAATCCGGTGCACCTAATGTATTAATTCTAGTTGTTCTTACTGGCCTCGAACCGATTTCATGTGGTACTTAGCACTCAAAAATCTGTCAGAATATTGTAGTACAACTTTGGTAAACTACGAAGCTGCACCGCTTGATGGATTGTCGGAGCATTACGGCTACCATAGTCAGAAACCTCGTGGAGTAAAGGGCGATGTATAGTTCTGCGTCAACTCAACAGACACTGCACCCGTCGCCTTGTCGCAGAAAAAACTTCCTAATTTTCCCAGTTATTTATTGCAGTTGGAGTTGTGCAAGTCCAATGAAGAGCTTGAAATGGTCCAAAGGAAAGAACAAAACACAAGTCCAAGCTCTGCCAAAACTACCTCAGGGAAAAAAAAACAAGATGGTTAAGCTTGAAAACATGAAGTGTCCAGCAGCACAGTGTCCAGACTTAAACCCCATGGAGCTGGTTTGAGATGAACTGGACAGAAGAGTGAAGCAACCAACAAGTGCCACACATTTATGAAACTTCTGCAACAGACTTGGGAAGAACTTTCTGAACAATATTAGATTTTTATTGTAAAAAGAACGAGTCGCGAGTGTGTTCAGCTGTTCTATCTGCCAAAGCTGGACACACACATGAATCGAAGGTTTAGAATATGTTTTGGTCAACAGTGAAGTAAAAAACTGGAAAAAGTGTGGTGCTCTAAAACTTTTGACCTGTAGTGTATATTTGAGTCCTCTTTGTAGGAAATAAAAAAAAAAAAAAAACTTAAATGATCCACCCACATTATTCACATTCATAAAACACATTCACCACGACAGGGAGGCAATGCCTATTTCTTCTTCATTACACATTTTTTGGCTGGTGTGACTTGTAATCTGAAAAATACAGTACAGTAAGTCATAAGTGAAATTGTAAATGTAAACTTGTTCATACGCTGCTTTTCTTTCTTGGAATTCTGTCATTGTTTAATAGGGTTTGGCTTTTTAAGTACTTTTACTTCAGCCAAACCTTTTCAGTCATGATCCATGGGGTTGTAGTCTATGATTTGTTTGTTTTGTAATGCTGCAAAATGACCCAATAAACTACTACTACTGCTAGTAAAGTGTAAGTGTGAAGTGAAAATGGTTGCTCATAATAGCAGAACTTAAATAAAGTGAAGTAGTGCATGTACCTTGATAAGCATGATGTCGTTGTCATTGGTTACATTGTTGTAGAGTGGGTGTGGCTCCAGTCTCGCAGCAGAGACACGCCACCCCGTCCCCTCAGGCTCACCCAGCACCGTCTCCCCAGCAACCACCTGCATGTTCCCCAGCCTGCACACAGTGTACAACTCACAACTCATATACTCTGCTTAAAGTGGAACTAAAACGATCAACTACTCCACTCACAACCACCAATCAATCTGAAATAGAGCTGCTAAAATGGACAGTACCTGTAGGACTAAAGGGGAGAGTGAGGGGGGAGAGAGGGGCGGGGTCTGGAGGACTAAAGGGGAGTGAGGAGAGGAGGGGTGTGGTATGGAGGACCAAGGGGGAGAATGAGGGGGGAGGAGGGGGGGAGTACTAAAAGGGAGTGAGGGAGGGGGGATGGGGGAGGGAGTGGGGTCTGGAGGAGTAAACGGGGGAGGAGGGATGGGGTCTTTAGGACTAAGGGGGAGAGTGAGGAGAGGAGGCGGGGCGGGGTCTGGAGGTATAAGAATTACTGTGATTGGTCTAACAGGTATCCACACTTCAAACTCCGCCCCTGCAGCCAGGTGTTTGTATCAGTAGCACGTGTCTGTAATCAGGACAGTCCTGTGTGATGTCACCAAGTACTGGAAATGGCAGAGAGGGAGCACAAACTAAAGTTAAGCAGCTGATTTAGTGTTTAATTCCACTGACCAAACCAGAACTAAATCAGTTATGACCAAACTCAGTGAACATGCATTTCTGTGCACTATTTCAGAGTCTGTGCATGTAGATGGTCTATGAAACTGCTAGTGGTTTGAATAAACAACAAAGATTTTTATTTAACTCTGTTTGTTTGGCAGTGGTCCACCAACCTAAAGGCTGCAGGATCGATTCCCACTCAGACCAAGATCTGTCGTTAAGCAAGGCACTTGACCTATTAGCAGCCTTGTTTCTGTTAGTCTGTCCCAGGGCATCTGTGGCTATAACAGAAACTCCGCACCATCAAGTGTAAGTGAATACATGAATACAAAGTACAGTATGCTGCATTATTATTGTCATTATTATGAAATACAAGATGTTTCAAGGGCCTGCACCCCTGCACCTGATTTTAATTTACTCTGTGGGGCTCACCAGTGATGCCTGCTCCAGTTATGGAAGTAAAATTTCCATTCATTATTCACATAGAATTTTTGAAAAATTCAGAGAGAAAGCATCACAGAAGCTAGCAACATGCTCAATAATATCCATAGCTAATTTTTTAAAAAGCAAATTTAAAAAGCAAGATTCAGGGAAATGGTTGAATAACTTGGTGGTTTCTAAAGTTTCATTCAGCAGATTTGAAATACAGTTACAGTTCTTGTGGTCATCAGACACCACGTATCCTTGAGCAAACTTGTAAAGTCTACGGGAAAAAAGAATGAACCAGGGTGTGGGCGGTCACTGTTGAGCTCCAGACGCTCTGTGCTGTAAACACTGAAAATAAAGAAAAGGTGGGTGGAGACTGATGAGAACAGTGTGGAAAAAACTGCCTGACATTACACCAGACAGTAGTTTTATTTCCTGTCAAACAGAGACAAAGTCTCTTTAAGTTTCCTTCCTGCTGCTGTCAGGAATAAACACCTGTGTGCCTGTATACCTCTGTACCTGTGTACCTATATACATCTATACATGTACATGTGTCATCCACCTGTAATACTCATGTGTAGTACTGTAACTGAATCCTCCCTGTATAATACACACATGGGACTTTAATGCTGTTTCTCCTGTACTTTTGCTGCACTGTACATAATCATATACACACAATCACAATCAATCAGTCTTAAGTCCACTGTTAAGTCTTTTAATTACTATAATTATTTATCATGCTTCCTATTCCTCTGCTGTTCTTGAACTTTGTGTTGCAGCCTGCAACACTGTAATTTCCTAACTGTGTGACAAATAAAGGTGTATCTTTGTAACAACTGAAGCTGATACTCAAAGGGATTTAAAAGGGGATTTTACTTCTATGGCGTATTAACTGATTAACTACTCTGTCCTACAAAGGCAAAAGAACCTAACTCTCCAGAATGTGAAACTGAGAAAAATTAATTCAAAGTTTCTGTTTTGTCCAGACAAAAGTATAATAGGCAGTGCTCCCAAAATTGGACAACTAGTTGCTATAATGAAGAAATATTTGTATGAGAAAAATATTCAGTTCAAAATTGACCTTCAGTTCCTGTTCTCTGCCTTTGTATCATGAGCAAAGACAAAGACAAAAGGCAGAAACTGACATGACCATGATTTGGTTGATTTTGCCGAGACTTCCATCCATTATAAGAACATCTCACCAAGGTTCAGTCATCATGTGTTTGTTTAGTGCTGATCAGCATCGTGACACTTTCACAGTGAAACAGTTTCACACACAAGTGACTTTGCAGTTTCATATATACAGAATAAATAAATACACCAAATACTTTCACATTAAAGATCATTGAAGTATAATTGAATACAAAGGTTTATTTATTGAATGTGTTAAGACCCTTTAGATCACCATGTTCCCTTTTATGGTTTTGAAAATGCTATATTTACCCAAAACTATGTATTATATTGTTCAATAAGTTGTACTTTAGTTTTTGATACACAGAACAGTTTTGTATCATGCTTTTGTATATTTATAGACAACTATCATTTGTGAGCATGGGTGATGTAGGCATGTGGGCGGAGCCTTGTACAGAATCTTACAGTTAACCATGAGGAGGGTTTGAATAGGGCCTTGGAGTTATCACTAACATACTGAAACATGCATGGATGACATTTGAAACCTCATCAACATTATAACAAGAAAGAAAGATAAAGAAACATGATTTTTGTGTAATACTCCCTCCTTAAAACTTTTCAATTCATAGTACAGTATTCTCCCACTGAAAAAGATAAGACATGACACTATGTCAGGCACAGCTCACTGTGGGAGGAACGCTCTGAAACTATAACAAGTAACAACATCAGAACAACACGGAACAGACACAGGGACAGAACTGTCTCACTTCACAACTGTCTCAAAACTATGAGATAAGACAGAACAAGTAGAATCGGTTTAAAAACACATGAATTAAAAAACACATGAATTAAAACCACAACCTTAAAAGTAGTAGTGTTTCAACATCTCAATCCATGTCGAGTAAAAAGCATCAGTAGCAGTAATAGTAATAGTAGTAGTAAGTAGTAGTAGTAGTAGTAGTAGTAGTAGTAGTAGTAGTAGTAGTAGTAGTTGTAGTAGTAGCAGTAGCAGTAGTAGTAGAAGAAGTAGTAGCAGTATTAGGAGCAGTAGTAATAGTGGTGGTAGTAGTAGTAGTAGTTGTTGTGGTAGTAGTAGTAATAGTAATAGTGGTAGTAGCACTTGCTGTAAAATTCTCAAAGTGGAAGTGGGAGTTCAGTACAGATGTAGTAATAGTTCTGTAGGGTTGCCGGTTCAGTTCCTGCTGTGACAAATTAATAGAGTCTGAACTGGAGACAAACCAAGACAAGATTCCATCTTTTTTATGCTAAACCAGGATCCCCCTTATGTTGTGTCATTTGACAACACGTATTAATTAATTGAATTAAACTAGTGTTAAGAATGAAACCAGCTCAAAGGGCTTCACATATCGAAGGGTGAAGTGTCTTACTCAAGGACACAACACTCACGCAGACTGCAAAGAGCAAGATTTGAACCACTAACCTCAAAGGACACATGATGCATTATTTGTATTGTATTGCAGTTCATGGTTTAGAAGGTAAAGTAATGCCTATTCAAAGAACTAAACTTTTTTCAAATCTTTACTTAAGGAGACTTAGCAGAGGGAGTTACCAGGAGAGAAAAACTTCAACTAACTCATGCGCAACACACTCCATGTTTACAAGCAGACAGTTGACCTGGTAACTGAAAGGCTCAGAACCAGTTTAGTCTGAATCTTTATGGATGGGGCTTTTATCTTTGATGCAACAATTTAGGAAAATTACATACAGTGTATCTTCTCCACAGTGACAAAGGCTCTCATAAATAGGACTGATCAAATGTGAATGAAGCTAAATACAACTGCAGAGTTAAACACAGATAAAACTGAAAAAAAATGTCTGTATATGAGTCTTTAAATAGAGAGGACAACAAAAAATGCACATGTTTTACCCGATGTTGCAGTGAGCTGCTGTGAGCACCCAGGATTCATGAATGAGCACCCCTCCACAGAAGTGCTGCTGAAGGGAGGTCTGGAGGGACACGATGTACGAGACAGAGTGAGGAGGAGCCACAGAGCCACCCAGGATACGAAGAGTACGATGCAAAGGAAGCAGAGGAGAACCTGGCAACAGGCAGACACAAGAGAGACAATTATTATTATTATTATTATTATTATTATTATTATTATTATTATTATTATTATGCTCAAGATGTGTGTAAAATCTCTCTGTCGTCCACGTAGAATCCATGGCAAAGGAGAAATTCAATTTGTCAACTGGATAAACGTTTATTTTGGTCAAATATATTTTGCAGCTCATCCAAGCTGCAAAACATATTCTACCAAAATCCACTTTTGTCCAGTTGACAAACTGAATTTTTCCTTTGCCATTATTGTTATACAAAATATGTATGGATTTCAGGAGCATTACCAAAGCACCAAAAACAGCTCCACTGACTTCCTGTTCAAAAGTGCACAGGTTCTATTTCACCTTAATAAGCTGTGTTTTCATTGTTGAAAAATGACATGACAGTTTGAACCCTATTTGACAAGTAAGAAAAGAGAAGAGGGTGGAGATAGGGGATATGTGAACACAGACATTTTCTGAGCAACACCTTTTCACTGTTCCAGCAGCTGTAGCACTCTTTTGCTTTGTGGGCTTGTTTTTTGTTTAAACAAGTTTGAAAAATCCCAATTCCCATGGAGACCACCATTTCAATTCATTTCTCAACCCCAGTATGACTTTCCGATGGTTTTCCTTTTGGAGAGTTTACCCACAATTCATCTGTTCTTTGAATAACATACCCATTTTCCAGTCAGCCCCCCTCCCCCCTCAGATGCACTTTTCAGTGTGGACCTTATGAAACATGAAAAGTGTTTAGTGCACAAAGCTTCAGAGCTTCACCACAGAAACCCAATCCTCAAGTTAACCAGAGCCCGCGACACACAAGAGCCCGCGACACACAAGAGCCCGCGACACACAAGAGCCCGCGACACACAAGAGCCCGCGACACACAAGAGCCCGCGACACACAAGAGCCCGCGACACACAAGAGCCCGCGACACACAAGAGCCCACTTATGCAACTAACTCATGTCCTCTACAAACTGTGTGCAAAATTGACTTCTCAGAGACATCATTTCTACAATCTACCTGTCTTCAGCTCCAATGGTATACGCCAGTCTATGTAACATTCATTCATTCATTTTTCAAAATAAAACCAAAAATGAGAAAATGAGAAAGTATTTTCTTCATTATTTATCTCCAAAACCATTTGTCTCATTTTTTCAGTTTTCGATTTTGTGTTTAAATGAATAATGGAAAAAACAGATAACAGCCTTTTCCCGTTTCTGTGCCTTAAACTGAGATGCCAGACTGAACCAGGACTGAACCAGGACTAAACTGATCTGGTCCTGGTCTCAGTCCTGATTACCCAACTGTCTACGCAGGCACACCTCCATTTTGGTTTCGAGACAAATAATGTAGAAAATAGTTGTTTTTTCATTTTCTTATTTTTGGTTTTATTTTGAAAAAGAATGAACGATATACGGATTCACGCCACACTTCCTAGTGGTTTGATTCACTAGTGTGATGTGCAGCTCCCCATGAGCAGCAGCAGCGCTTTATTGTGATGATGTTTATGGCGACATCAGTTCCCATTGGGCACCGCAGTTTTCTAACAAGGAAGTCAGTGCAGTTGTTTCTTTTATGAAGTCATTTTAGATAGATAGATAGATAGATAGATAGATAATAGTATTTAAAATGGACATATTATGCAAAATTTAAACCATGTTGTAGTATTACTGACCTATGACCTGTGGAAGAAGTGAAATCATGGCTGTTACCATGATAGAAAGAAACTAGCATCCAAGTTTGAGCAATGCCTCTGACTGCAGCTTAACTTTGGATGCACTCTGCCCTTCCCCCTTCGAACTGGTTGATAAGTTACCAAGTGATAAGATCACGCAGCAAAGCAGCCATTGTTCTTTAGTAGATGGAAATTTCATCACTTTGAACGCAGCTGCTTTCCCCAGAGAAAGAAGAGGAATGAAATGAACTATTCAATCCATGAATTATTGCCCATATTGATTTGTAAATGTAGATGTGCATCTTCTTTTATCTGTGATATTTATTAATTAATTTATTAATTTAATCCTGCATAGGCTCATGATATCTGCACTACTGTTCTATAGTGACCTGAAACATGAGGGACCAGGACTGAACCAGGACTAAAATAGGACTAAAACAGGACTAAACCAGAACTGAACCAGGACTGACTGCAGGGTGACCGCCGGAGAAAGGATCGGCACAGAGCTCCACACCCCACGGGGCTAAGCGCAGCTGTTGCCTGATTGTGCTTTGCCAACAAGTTTATGAAAAATCTTACATTTTTTTAAGTTTAAAATCCCTGTCAGCCAAACATAACCAGTTTGTGATGACTTTAAAAAATCCTTTCGGGGCAGGGGATTTTTTCATTGTTGTACCACAGAACTATAGTAAAATCAGAAAATGAATCCAAGGTGGTGTTGTATTTTTCAGTATCTGTGCTCAGTGGTGCATTGGCTTAACAAAGATTTTCACTTCTGCATTTACTTCCTCAGTAAGGGCAAGTTCCTCCCACTCGTGTAACGTGCACAGCGTGGAGCGTTTGGACCAATCAGATCAAAAGTTGCTAGAGTGGAGCTAGAGAGGCTCAAAGTGGCACTCAGTCTGACAAAGATCACTTTTAGGCGCTTTGAGAATTCAAACATTTTAAAAAAGTTTATGTTGTGAAAATAGAAAAGAATCCTACAAAATCCGACCTTTGTGAAAGTTGTTGATGCCCTGTCAGAACACAGGCAGTTTGAATTCCCAAAATGCATTGTGCTTGTACAGGAGAATTCGTTCCCGAGAGCTGCAGTTCCTGGAGCGGCCACTAGTCGGCCTGGAGCTGGAAAAGAGGGCGAGGGGCTTATCCAGTTTTATTATAGATCCATGAGTGAGATGTGACATTTTAAACATGTTTTACAGGGATTCTGCAGTGTGGTGATGTCATGTGAACACATGCTTTTCTTCAGCGTGATGAGTGTATCAGTGATACACACATTCTAAAAGATCCAGGTAAAGCCCTTTATTCCTCCACATGAGTCAGAGTCAGTCCTTTTGAGTTTTTAGGTATTTTTAGTTTTTAGGAATCTGTGAGGGGAGCACATCCCTGAACAAAAGAGCCGCTCTGACTCTGCATTATTCCAGTGGGCCTCAGTGAGAGGGGCATTCCCATGTGCTGTTTCACTATGTTTCACATTCACCTGCACACAGCTGACCTACAAGAAATAAACTTAACTTTTAATACTGAAAGCCATCGTCAGACTAATACTTCAAGCACATTGGGTGACAGCTGACAGAAAACCCTCTTCCCTCTTCTAGTTTTTTAAAACCCTAAATATTTGTACATCAATATTTTCATTCAAATGTGACAAAATGAGCTGCCTCTGCCTCTGTCAGCACTGGACTGTTTGCTGTGCTTCATTTGGCTGCTTTGTTTTGACTGGACAAGTTCTCCAGTGGTTTGAATCTAAATCCACACATAGGAGGGCAGGAGCCTGCCTATGTTCCCTAAGCCCTATGTTCCTTCATTTCTAATTTGTTTTTTGTTTTGTTTTGTTTTTGTTTTTGCAGAATTGGGCCCTATGTTCCCACATTTCCTTTATCATCAAGTTACATCAGAATTTATCCCCATTTCTCCCAATTTGGTCATCAATTATACCTAACCTGTTATCCAGCAGCAGTTGTAAGGTCGTGTAAGTCGTGGTGCAAAGGACCTGAGGTTGAAATGACTGTGAATCATCTCTTTAAATGTGGTATAAAAATAAAACTGACTTGAATTAGACTTTCATTTTGAGAATAATCTTAGAAATAAGAAAAATCTTAGTAATAAGGGAACGTAGGGCTGAGGGAACACAGGGCTGTCCCCAGCAGGGCTACAGGTCAGGCTTTTGTTTGTGAATTCCAGAATATAACAGGAATTTATACTGCTGTCCAAAGTAAACATATGACAGGATAGACTTCTTGTTTCAGTAAAATAATAATATTGTTCAAATGCTGTTGCTTCTCTTGTTCTGGCCTGAGTTTACACTAGCACATGGACCACATGACCGAGTAGAGCATCCAGAGCAAAGCTTAGTTAAACTACGGATCTAAAAGCAGTTTTTAAGACAAATGAAGGATCTCGAGCTGAGAAAAAGTTTATGATCTGAAAATATTTCAAAATGGACACAAACTCTGACCTTTGTAAAAGCACGTTTTGAAGAATAGAAACAACTGTAACTGAAAGTGTAGTGGTGGAGAAAACAAGTTTGAAACCTGAATAATTTTACATGATTTTAAAAAGCAAATAAATGTGTACTTACATTTGATGATTGAGAAAACACCCCAATAGAGAACGATCACATGTAGAGTCAGCAGAATCTTCATTTTGTCAGATTTTGTTAGTTTAGTACTTTCAAAAAATGTGTTTGCCAGATCTGCATCTGTCTCAGCTTAGTGCTGCCTTTTCTATGGTTAACCCTCTCCTAAATCCACCCCTTACAGTAAGATTAGGTCACCATGGCGGGGCATCTTTGTTTCATTTGATCTGAAAGGAACACCGCACACTGATCGAGAAGGAGGACAGACACGAGCGACCTTCAGAAATGGACACAAAATGAGTGTGAATGAATTTGAACAAAGGAATAATGGGAAGTGAGGAGACAGGTCGTCACAGACACACTTTACTGTATAGTGTGTTGAGTCTGACACCTCAACTGTGTTACTTAACAAAGAAAAAGGTTATGCTCTTTGCTGGTATTTCATTATAAACTGTTATATTGGTCTAAAACAGTTTTATAGTAAAGAGGTCCACTTACTTTTCAAAAAGCTTTAAACATAAGTAAGTACATAGAAGCAGGTGGAGGTGGGGGACATTACAGGATTACTCAGATATGCAGGAGTCACTCCAAATACAAGTGTGAACACTGCTGATGTGACATGTGTTCCCTTTAAAGTGCATCCAGGTTTTCATGTTTTTCTCAATTTTGTTCTGTTTGATGGGGCAGTGCCTTGTTGTACATGTACTCATCAGTTATTGATACTTAAACACATAAAGTTAAAACTAATTTCACCTTCCGGTCACTTGGGGACTCTCGAGGTTCCTTTGTTTTGAGCAACTTCTTATTTAAACATCAATATTTCTGGCTGTATTGTGGTCAGTTGTGTTCATGGAATGAGTCAAATGATTTCACATTTGATGTCACATAAAACATGGCCATAAAATCAACATACATTTTTATTTATTTATTTATTTTCTACTTTCAAAACTCAGATCTCATCTACATCTACTAAGGCTATTTTGCCATCAAAGGACATCAGAAGTAAACTGTGAGAAATTAAAACATGTGGTATTTTCCAAATTAAAAGAGAGAAGTGAGAAACTTAAGATACATTTATTAGAGTCTAGTATATGTCAGTAATTTATGGTGGGAAAAAAATGGTGCATTATTGTGTTTTGAATGGAGGAGGATTATGTAAAAATCCATAGGGACCCTTGAGGGTCCCATTTTTGAAGGACCATAAAATCCTTATAGATTGATTCTACTTTCAAAACTCTTTATCTACTTCTACTGTACTCATACATGTGCAAACTTTCTATATACATTGTATATTTTTTTACATTATAAGTAAAAGTACATTAAAAGTACACCCTGAATAAACAATAACAAACTAGATAAATTACATATTTTCAACATTTAAAGAGTGACGTGAAAAAGTTAAATTTATTAGTCTAGTAAATGTCATTAATGTCATTAATAAGCACAGTGCACATGTTTTGAATAGGAGAGGATTATGTGTGAAAAACAACATATTCACTTTGACTTCCATTATAAACACACATCATGATTAAAACATTAGAATAAGATGAATTTCAATAGAAATCAGGACAAAACTGGTCTGGTTGTTTTGGTCTGGAGTAAAGAAAGGCTCTTGGGGCTGTTGACTGAAGAAGAGGATCTCAAAAGCCAAGATGAGGAGGAGGATGACAGCTCAAAATACAAGACATGTTGCCCTTTGTGGAGAAATAAAGGTGGAACAAACCTGAGACACCATTAAACTCCTTTATATTAACCTGGGTGAGCTCACTCTGGTTGAATCATAATGCCTCAGTTCAGGAATCAGACCAGATGGGACCTGCTTGTGAAGAGTGTGGACACTATCCTTGATTGGTCCTTCTTACTTTACTTTACTTTACTTTACTTTACTTTACTTTACTTTACTTTACTTTACTTTACTTTACTTTTTTTTTTTAAATCATTTTACCTCCTCCATCACTGAAAAAAAATTGGCTACTTGTGATTTTCTTTCAAGTAAACCAAGATTTTTAACCCATTTTTACCTTTTTTAACAAATCTTCTGATGAGCCAGCAACATGTGGGGGAAAGAAACCAAGGGAATTCTATCTGTGAGCGCTGTCAGAATTATCAACAAGAAATGAATGAGCTACAAGCACAAATATTTGCTTCAGAAAGTGAACTGAACTGACTTCCACAGCCCACAGTTACCTCCAGAGAAGAGGGTGAAGAAAGCTGCTTTTTTCAGCTTAAACCTGAGTGATACTGTTTCTTTTCCAAAACTTTGTAAAGAACAAAATGTTAAGCCATAATAGTGATAAAAGACAACACTACTATCATTATATCCCCCACAATAAAGCTAACAAACAGATTTTTACAAATGTTACAGGCTGATGTTAATGTACAAACAGAAAATTGATTGTCATCACAAAATAAGAGTAATGAAGTTGACAAAAAAGCACAGGCAGACGGGCAGTCTGTGCCAAACATCAAGGTCAGAGGTCACTGCTGCTAGGAGATGGGGCTATCAGTAATTTACAGGACTGCTTCAGCTGAACACATGGCTGTTGAATGATATTGAGAACTTTGATCTTTTCAGATCTCGTCAGATCTCAGAAGCTCAGCAGGGCCAGGCCTGGTTAGTACTTGGATGGAGACACTGGGAATTCCAGATGCCACAGTGAGGCTGTGGTTGTGTGATTGACACTTCACCCACGCCTAGTAAGAAAGTGGTGTGTGTGTGTGTGTGTGTGTGTGTGTGTGTGTGTGTGTGTGTGTGTGTGTGTGTGTGTGTGTGTGTGTGTGTGTGTGTGTGTGTGTGCGTGTGTGTGTGTGTGTGTGTGTGTGGGTGGTGGCTGCAGGGGCCAATGGTGCAGACTGGCAGCCTCACTTATATAAGTCTGCCCCAGGGCAGCTGTGGCTACAGTAGAAGCTTACCGCCACTGAGCGTGGCATGAACAATGAACTGTAAAGCACTTTGGGTGTCTTGAAAGGCGCTATATAAATGCAATGATTAATTCATTTTCTGGAAATGAGAGGACCTGAGCAGAGGTGGAGTGAGAATGCTGAAAAAAAACCTCCTCCACGCTCTGAGGCACCATCCTGGACAGGGTCCTGTGCAGCCTGTGAGAGAAAAGAGGAATAAGAGAAGCATCCCTGCTGCGCCAAACAGAGAACCAGCCGATGTGTCAGCACTACCAATTGCTTCACCACTGCCACTACGAGCCAATACCCCCATCTCTCTCTACCCCAGAGAACAAGTCAGCAGCACCACCTTGCCCTCCTTCAGAGAACAAGTCAGCAGCACCACCTTGCCCTCCTTCAGAAAACAAGTCAGAAGCACCACCTCCCCCTCCTTCAGAGAACAAGTCAGCAGCACCACCTCCCCCTCCTTCAGAGAACAAGTCAGCAAAACCACCTCCTTCTCCCTCAAAGAATGATTCAGCACCACCAACTTCCCCTTCGACAAAGAATGAGCAAGCACCACCACCTCCCCCTCCTTCGGAGAACAGAGAATGGAACATAATCCTCTCCCATTCCAAACAATAATGCATCATTTTTTTCCCACCATAAATAATTGACATACTGACACTGATATTGACATGGCTCTAATAAAGTTAGCTGACGTTTTCCACTTCATTCTTTTAATTCTGAAAATATGTATTTTTTTCTACTTTTTACTGTTTACTCAGGGTGCACTTGGCTTATAATGTAAAAAATATACAATGCATATATAAAGTTTGCTCATGTATGAGTAGAGTAGAAGTAGATAAAAAGATCTGAGTTTTAAAAGAAGAAAAAATATTAATCATATGCCATCCATCATGCTTCCATTTAAAGCACAATAATGTGTTTTCATTTTTCATAGTCTTTTTCAGGTGTACTTTTATAGCAAAATAGCCCTTTAATGTAAAAAATATGCATCAAATAAAGTTTACACATATATAAGTAGAGTAGAGGGAGATGACGAAATCTAACTTTTAAAAGTAGAAAAAAAAAGTTATGTGGATTTTATGGCTGTTCAAAACTGTGGATCCCAAGTTGTTTTTGTTATAATTTGGTGTTTCGGTTCAAGACAATTATCCAGTCTGAAAGCAGAATGAGTCTCACATGACTCTCTCATTTGTGCTGCCAGTTTCAACTCTGAAATCCTTTTGGTTTAAACCTAAAATGTTTCTCTCTCATCTGAATGATCTCTACCTAATCCCCAACACTTGCATCAATCCTGAGTCTGTGCTAGTGCAGCCTCTGCAGCTCAGAGAGGGAATTCTGGAGGTTCTGAGCTTCACATGAAACATGTTCTGTCCATAAACTGAGAATGAAACAAACATGGATGTGTCTCTATCTGCAGGCATCTGAAACTTTTTTAAACTGTAAGAGACATTTTTAACTCCAAATATATGAAACAGATTCTGCATGTTTTACAAAGCAGTGGGCAGAGATGGGGGTAGATGAAAATAGACACATTCAGGACCGTAATAGATTACTCAGACATGCATGAATCACTCAAAATGCAACTTTGAGTAAGATAATTATTAAAAATAAAGATGAGGGAACACTGTTCTAACAAGGTTTAAAGATTACAAGGATTGATACATAATATATCCCCTTCAATTATTAAATCAGATGGTACTTGAAGACAGTAAGTCTGAAAAGTACTTTTAATTGAGTAATTTCAGCAAATGCCTCTTTTCCCGCTAGGGCTGTCCTTTGTCTCCTGCAACATCCAGGAGATCTGATCTTTCCTGGCTTTATTTTGGGAATTCTGTCACTTCCTTACTCTCTCAGTGTAGTGCCACCCAGAGAATACTGCAGTACCACCCACAGTACTACAGTAACAGTACCTGATCTGAGCAGGGAGGATCTTTCTGACCAGGGCTGTCCCATTTAGAGGTGTGTGAATAATTTAACCTCCACATACAAGACTGAAAGGAGAGAGAAGAGGAGAGGAGAGAGTAGGATAGAAGAGAGAAGTAAAGAGAAGGGGGGAGAGGGGAGACACTTCTAGAAAACAAAAACATAAACCACACACTGAAAATGCACAACTTAGATTTCCTGTATAAAACAGGGTATTTAGCATTGCAGGGTGACTGCCAATATTGATTTTGCTAATATCACTGTAATGCCATTACAGACATTACTCTAACTCCTTTTTCTTTTAAGAAAAAAAAAGAAAGAAAAAAGAAAAAAGAAACAGCAGAACAGCTCTGTGTAAAAAAAAATGTAAACACTTCAAGTTCAAACGTCTTATGGCATTAGTTTAAATGTCCAATCAGGATATAAACTGAATCGATATTTGGAAGCCGATGTGCAATACAGTGAAAATTTCAGCATTGGTGCCAATATTCAATACCAGTAACGGATTGGTGAATCCCTAATTCAAATAAGACCTGTACTTGTAACCAGTACAGTAACGTAACTACTGGTTCCCACCCTGGCAGCATAACGCAATTGAGGCACGCTGAGAACAGAGGATGGTGGCGAAGTCCAGGCAGGAGGAGCTGTAAAGCATCGTGCCACCTTCACCACAAGCCGTTCTTGGCCTACCCAGAGCTGGTCGCGGTGCACTGCCTCGGAGGAAGTGTGCTCAGCAGGGGGCCAGTAACACCCAGGGAGAGGTCCCTCGACAGGATCCTCCTGCACTGAGTTGCCAGACTGTGTGGACACCACCTCTTTACCTCTTAACAGTTTCATGTCCTCTTCAATTCTCTCTTTCAAAGTTCTTTTCGACTTTCTCTTAAGGTAATTGTCAACTCTCAATCTCGTGCCGGTATTTAGCCTTAGATGGAGTTTACCACCAAAAAGTTATCAATGTGATGAGTAAGGTAAAAAGTTACTTTGTATTGAGGGTAACTAAATAAAGTAAGGGAAAAGGCTGGATTATCCATGTGGACCAGTGGCACGGTGCCCAGGGCACCAACCATTCACAACCAGTGGAGGGGGGGCACTACATGGCACAAACTTTTAAAATATTTTTCATAAATTTGTATGTTATTCACTTCAAATGTTAAATGGCCAAACATAACTCATCATTAACACTAATTTCATAATAACAACAATCATATGATAATAATACTGAATGATAATTCTGAACAAATGAAGACTACATTACCATTCATTCCCCATTACATATGAGAAATTCACCAAAAATCAGCTTTACAAATGCAGTAATGTAAGGAGGGCCATGCTGTGTCATGTGATCTGATGTTTGCACTTGAACCATTAACACGTTAATAGTCGTCAGTGTCTTGGTGTTCGTCTTGTCAACACTTAAGTTAAACCCAATCGGCACCGCAACCCACAATCCCATTCTGGACATGTGGGCTTCACCAATCTGATCTCTGATTGGTAGAAAACATAACGTGCACCCCATCCTCCTTCCCGCTCTCCTCCACATATCGCCTTTCATTTGCTTTTGTGGCACAGAGCGACACAGATGTTCTAAGTTACAGCTAAATCATTTTTGTGGAACTAAAGACTGAGAGATAAAACCCACAGAACAATGTGACGCTGCTGTCACGAGGGCCAGGGCGGACACTTTATTAAATCCTGACTTAGTCCTGGATTAGTCCTGCTTTAGTCCTGGTTTAGGTTTAATTCTGGTTTAAATTTGGTTTAGTCCTAAGCCTGCACATATATACACACATCACTTTATATAATTCAACTGATATCAATTTATCCATTTATACTGAAGTGTATTATAGCCATATGGCATGTGGAACAAACCACTTCCAGAGCATGTCCATAGAGCAGAACAGGTACAACAGCTTGTTCCCAAAGGTGCTCTCCTGTTCGGTGATGGTGCTGTGCAGGGGATGCTGGGGGTTCTCCCAGATGGATTGGAGCTTGTTTAGGCCCTTCTTCTCAACCACAGATGTGAGTCAAGCTCTGCATCCACCACAGATCCTGCCTTACTCACCAGCTTATCCAACTGTACAGTGTTCTTCTTCTTGAGGCTTCCTCCCCAGCAGACCACAGAGCTGAAAAAGACACTGGAGATGACTGTCTGGTAGAATATCAGCAGGAGCTTTTAGCAGATACCAGCTTGTCAAAGCCTGATCCCGTACTTGGATGGGACACCACTGGGAAAATCAGGATGCCACAGGGGGGCGTAAAAACTGTTGTTGTGTCCTTAGGCAAGACACTTCACCCACATTGCCCAGTATGAAAGTGGTGTGTGTGTGTGTGTGTGTGTGTGTGTGTGTGTGTGTGTGTGTGTGTGTGTGTGTGCGTGCGTGCGTGCGTGCGTGTGTGTGTGTGTGTGTGTGTGTGTGTGTGTGTGTGAGTGATTGTGGTAGTTGGAGGGGCCGATGGCACAGATTGGCAGCCTCGCTTCCGTCAGTCTGCCCCAGGGCAGCTGTGGCTACAATAGTAGTTTACCACCACTGGATAGTGAATGAATAATGATCTGTAAAGTGTCTTTGAGTGTCTGAAAAAGTGCTATATAAAACCGATGCATTATTATTATTATTATTATTATTATTATTAGTTGTTAAAGGACTTCAGCCTTCTGGGGCCCAAATACTTATAACACATACATACATACATGTGCATACATACACATACACATACACATACATACATACATACATATGCACACAAATACATACACACATACACCTACATACGCAGAGACGTACAGATGAGCTCTGTTTGCCTTTGAGACACTTTGTAAAACACAATAAAATAGAAGTCTTTATTATGATACTTTTTCACAATAAAACTTTTGCACTCAGCCCCACTCAAAATGACTCTGCACCTTCACCCAGATCTCCTCTGGGGGAGCAGAGCACTTTGTGTGATATGCAGCTTACACTTATAACATGAGCACTGCTCATAATCTGGACTATAGCCTGTGTCTTATCCAGGACTCAATCAGTACTAAAGTAGTACTAAGATGTAAGCACCATCACCTCACCACAAGAGGATGTTATGTATTGATTCTCCATGTGCTTTATTGTGACTAAACTGTCCTGGACCTCTGGAAGAGTTGTGTTTGTGATTGTAGAGACTAAACAAATGAACAAATAAACTGTGGGGCCCAATGCTACAGACAGATTTAACCCAGAGACACTGAAGGAGGGGTCAAATGCAGTGGACAAATTGAGCCAGTAAAGTGTACCCTGTTTCCAAACAAGGTTGTCTTCCACATGTCTGAAAGCACCATGGATTTAGTCGCATCTGAAGAACCATATCTGATGCAGCAGCTTGTTCTTTTCCATGCTACGCTCTGTCCTGCTCCTTCATATCTCTGGTGCTGCAGATTAGGCCCCCGCCACAGGAAAGATTAGCAAAAACACATCTTTTCTGCGTATTCTGTGTCCTTCTTTGGTTTCGTGTCTGTACAGCCGGACTTTGTTTCCATTACAGAACAATAAAGAAGAGACAAAGACCCAGAATATGAGGCGTAAGCAGGAGAAGCTCTGTGCTGGGCTCATTGTCAGGGCCTTTTGCTTGTACTAGGTCATCTCCTCCGCTTTCACTTTAGCCATATAGCCACTATACCCATATAGCCACTATACCCAGCACAAAGACACCAAGACAAAGGTGTCTGTTTCACTATAAATATGCTTAAAGAGTCTTTCCCATAGATCCATGTCCCCGGAATGAGACGAGAGCGTGAGAGTGAGTGTCTAGCAGTGTGTCAGCGCAGGCAGCCACCGAGCAGCCACACTCAGGTGAGAGGGCCAATGTACTCTCTTTTACATTTACTATACAAATGTGCTTTTCATACACATACAGGAGGGTTTTCAGGGTAAACGCATACTAAATCTGGATTACTAGGGAGGAATTTTTAATATGGGGTTAAAAAGCGGGTCTAGAAAACTCAAAAATCAGATTATGTATGATTGTACACATGGGCTGTAGCGGTATTATCACAGAGACTTACAGAGGTAAGAGCATCATTAGTTCAGTGTGTCACTGTGACTGTTGTAAAAGAACATTGTGTTTTCCATTTGAACAAGAGCTGCTCTGAGTTCACATCGATACAAAGATGACACTTTTGGACCTGGGTCAAGAGACACTTTTTTCTTGGCTTTTTAAAGTCTGATTTTTTTATCTTTTTTTTTTTTTTTTTTTTTACACTGGGTGCTCTTTCTGTCAAAGGGTTAGTTTTTCCTAAGGAACCCCAGAATCCTTTGTTATTGGGTGCTGTGCTGCACCTGCTGCTCGACTGATGGCCTATTTAACAGTGTGTCCTGTTCAGTGTGTGGGCTCATCATGGACACTCTTTGGTCTGGAATTACACAGACAGGAGGACTTTCAAAATGGCATCTGCTGCTATGGGTCTGATCTGGAATAACTTATGACCCAGAGACACTGAAGGAGGGGTCAAATGCAGTGGACAAATTGAGCCAGTATATGTAACCTGTTTCCAAACAAGGTTGTCTTCCACATGTCTGAAAGCACCATGGATTTAGACGCATCTGAAGAGCCATATCTGATGCAGCAGCTTGTTCTTTTCCAACCTCCGCTCTGATCCTCTCCTGTCCTGCTCCTGTCCTCCTCCTGTCCTGCTCCTGTTCTGCTTTGTTTTGTCCCACCCCTGTTTGTCCTGCTCCTGCACATCTCTGGTGCTGCAGATAAGGCCCCGCCACATCAAAGATTAGCAAAAACACTTTCCTGCGTTTCTGCGAGCAGCTACATTCAGGTGAGAGGGCCAATGCCAACTCTTCTCCATTCACTATACAAATCTGCTTTTCATACACATACTTAGACTTAGACTTAAACTTAGACACATCACAATATAATATAATAACAAAGAGAAAAGATATAAATGGTAAAAAAAAAAAAAAGGGTTTACAGGGTAGGCGCATGCTTCCTGTAAAGGAGGGTTGCTAAATCTGACACATACTAAATCTGGATTACTGAAGGAATTTTTAATGTAGGGGTTAAAACAACTGGTCTAGAAAATCAGATTTGTATGATTGTACACATGGACTGTAGCAATATGACCAGAGAGACTTATAGAGGTAAGAGCATCATTAGTTCAGTGTCAGTGTGAATCAGTTACTTTGGGATTTGGAATATTGATGTTGGATACCCTTCCTGAAGTAGTCCACTACAAAGTGACTAGAGTGAATGCAGTGTCTTGCTCAGGGACACAACAATAGTGTGTGCTTCTTTCGTTGTTTGAGGACTAATCACTATATCCACTTATCATTTAGTATATGAAAGATGGAAGTATAGTTTTGGGGATCAGTATTTATTACGTGCATTTTCTTTGCTCTATTGGGAGATTTATGTGTATTTTTTGGCTATGATAAGATCTGAGCTGTAATAACTTAAATTAATAAGTTTTATGACTTATTACATTCTGTTGTTTATTTACTTTTTTAACATTATTGTAGATTTAGAATTGTTTCTTTGGTTTAAATCTGCTCTTGGGTTATTCTGGCTGTGGCATAAATTAGTTTCAGTAGTATCTTTTATCGTCTATATTTACTTCAGTGACATATCGTTATTGTGACAGGCCATATTTTTATTTTATTTTGGAGTGCAACAAGAAGAACACATAGGTCCATAGTGAAGAGTCTTTTTATACACTCGACACTGGTAGTACTGTAAACAGATGACTTTTTTAACTGATGCAGTACTTAATAGTTAGATTACAGTTACCAGTCCAAGTAACTTTAAGTCACTATTTTAATGTGTGCTATCAACAGAAGTGTGTCACTAAACAGTCAAACCTTTAGACAGACACAGATGAGCAGAGGACCAAAACACACACACACCACCTGAGCTGTTCATCCTATATTTCTTTCTTGGGATCAGTTCAGTGTTTCCCACAGATTCTGTCTGGTGACATAAATACTTCCTCATGTGCTCACACACAGTCTGGAGTGCACACAGTGTGTGGAGTGTCTCTTCTGCCTGTGTTTCATATAGAAGTACTCTTCTGAACAGTGCAGTGACTGTTTTTGTTATGTATAAAGCAACAAAGTGAGCTTTTGTGTTGTCAGTGTCCAGTCCATGTTCTTTTTAGCCAGTGGAGGAGAATTTTAGACTATGGGGGCACCATAGTCTATTAATGGGAAACTGCAGTAATCAGATTACATCTGAAGTAGATTAATCGGAGTAGTTATTTGATTGCTTTTAAAGAGACTAATCAGTAGACAGTAATCAGATTACTTTTACGAGGTAATTGGAGCAACACTGCTCATTACACAAGTACAGGTGAAGCAGGGCTCAGGGCTTGAGGCTGAATCCACACTCACTTTTGTGCTTCTCCACTAACAGAATGACTTTGTTTAATATTTCACACTGCTCTCACTGACTTCTGCCTTAGATCACTGTGCAGAGACATACACGTGTGAGAAAAGTGCAGTGTGCTGCTGGACAGTTTTACCTATAACACTCACACACACGGCTGTGCTCTCGCTTATGTTGTTTGTCTGCTCCTTGTTTTGTGTTTGCGTATAAAACCCATGGATTCCAGGGTTTTCTTTCAGATGACATGACATTACATGTGACATGACATTACAGATGGGCCAGACAACATAAATATTGTCAAAATGTACATTTGTGCTGTTATACAGGTCTTGGGTCTTGTCACTTATAGAAATGATCAGGTTCAACATTTGTGACTTTACCTTTGGAGATTTCATGGTAATCTATTCACGTTTACGTCACACACCAGGAAGACGTTTGGAAAGATGCAATTACAACTTACAACTTAGTTCCCGACAATGGGCTTGCCTAACAAGCATCTATTAAAACCGACAATGATAAAACCCCTGAAGTAAATGTTATCAGCGGTAAAATGAAGACTGCAGTTGTATGTGCTGTTTGGAATCATCTGGAATTTGGTCCCTCATCTCTTCTAATCACATGTACCAGTGCACTTGGAGTTGTGTGTCAGTGGAGAAATGATGAAAACTGAGGTATGGTTGGAACTGTTGATTAGCCGAACAGAACAGAACACTACAATAATATGGAGATGAAGAAAACTGGGCCTGCTTGAATTTAATTTTTTGGATTGGATTTTTACTGGGCCTATGTATGCAG